TGGTTAGGGACCGGTTAGTAGGGTGCCGTGCAAAAGTCAGTTGGGACCCATTTTGCACGTGCGCACGTGCAGGGTGCCGCTTCCAGATCTCGAGAACGGCTGGGCCGATTGTGCTCAAATTTGGCACATCGCTAAAGACCGGCTAGTAGGGTGCCGTGCACAAGTCAGCTGGAGGTACCCCGTCGAAATTTCGCACGTGCAAGGCTCACCCTCTCGCTCGCTCCGTTAGTCGCCACAAAAGGCGTTATACTGGTCTGTACTCTGTACCTACCTTGATCTTTTTCCAGTCTTATCTGAAAGTCGAATAGCATTTGGTGACACACTGCCTGCATCGTGTCCTTCTCTGCATCCGTGATTTTAGCAAGCGGCGCCACGATTTAAGTGCGTAGCACTTTTGCGCCAATTGCCTACTTTATTTGTTATATTCATCTGTTTGTTATTGAATAAATGGTCTCTCTCTCTCTCTCTCTCTCTCTCTCTCTCTCTCTCTCTCTCTCTCTCTCTCTCTCTCTCTCTCTCTCTCTCTCTCTCTCTCTCTCTCTCTCTCTCTCTCTCTCTCTCTCTCTCCTCTCTCTCTCCTCTCTCTCTCTCTCTCTCTCTCTCTCTCTCTCTCTCTCTCTCTCTCTCTCTCTCTCTCTCTCCCATGATGTCCCATCTCTCGAATAGGATGAATGACGGCTGTGTTGCCCTTACCTGCCACCTCCCCCCCCCCACTAACCTCCCTCTCTCCTTCCCCAGGACGAGTGGGAGCTGGTGTGGCGCCACCTACTGCCGTTCCCTGGCCTCGTCCAGGCGTGTGCCGAGGCGTCGCTGGCCGGCCGGCCGGCCCTGCATCGCCTCTGCTCTGGTCTGGAGGCGCTCAGTCACACGTTCAGTCGCTACTACAGTCGTACTCACGTGCTCACGGTGAGTGGCGGAGGCAGACGAGAGAGAACTCGGCGCCGTCGGGATGTGATTTCCAAATGTCGTGTTTTAGCGTTGTTATTGAGAATCTTGCTAGAAGCTAACTGATCGTAACACAAATTAGTTGTATTGTGTCGAATTTGTTGACATAAATATGCTCTAACTCATTTTTGAATTATCAAAAGGTTGGCATTTCGCACAAATGCCACGAATGTCACTAATGTCCTATGCTACCTGGGATCCGAGCTTCGTTCACATATCCATTTTCCCTCCCCCAGCCGCCTCTGGAGCACCTGATGGACACGCTGCACGTGCGCATCCACCTGCTGAAGGCGGCGCAGACCGTCTTCGACACCTACTTCGAGCTCCTGGGCTACGAGCCCCTGGAGCGGATGTAGATGAAGTCACCTGTCTCCGTCAAGATGCCGTGGTGGCAGGCAGCACCACGCGTTGACGGAGCGGCAGAAGAACCGTTTCACGGGACCAAGCGGCTGTGGTGAGTTGTGATATGATTTGTTATCAGGGACGTTGTTTTATACAGTTCACGTTTTCTTGTTGGTTCGTTTAGTGTTCATAATCAGGACGGTCTTGAATTGGTTACCTTTTTGAACTACACGTTCATCGTGGTTCATGCTGCCTTCGAACGAGTTGACGGAAGCCAGGTATGCATTATCAATGCATTTTTGTTGCGTTTGCACCTACATTTCATTCTTAGACTGGATGTGGGCACGTTTGCTCAAACCGTTACGATCATTAATCTAGTCCGGAAGAGGCGTCTCACCGTGGGTTTTGTGTCAGGTTTGCTCAGATCTTCACCACGCTCAGCGTTTCGCCAAAGGCGAGGTGGCGCTAGTGCATTATCGGAATGTGCGACTAGAAGTGCGGATATACGTTGGTACCGCGGGATGGACAAGGATCTGCGTTTCAGTTGTGGGTTTGCGGTGCTGGTGACCGCAGCAAGTCTGGTTTGTTTCAACGTGTTATTATGGCAAGTACAGCTGATGCTGGCGCCTGTTTCCGTCACTTTTTTACTCGTGTGAACTGAGTGTTACGGAGTACAGAATTTGTGTGATTCTGCAATACAGAGTCGTTATGTATATGCTTCGTGTTCATTAAACGTATCTTTTGAAAATCGGAAAGGATTGGTTACATGCCCGAAGTCGCAGGTCTTGCAAATACCTGAGCGAGTAATTTGCATTACAGACGGATTTCGTATTGAGCGTCGGGCGGAAGTGCGCTTGTAATGGGCAGTCATTTCTCTTGCAGATTAAAGTGGAGTGTTTATCTGAGATCATGGGTGGAGAATGTTTGAAAAAGTTACCCCGGCCGGCGACCGATAGTCATGAAAAGACGGCATGCTCAAATAGTATTTGTAAACGGTTATCAACAAATCCCTTTTCTGTTGAATGAAATAATGGATGTTGTGATTGCTGAATGATGAACATTTTAACTCTCAGTTATTTCTCAGTTATTCAAGGTCAGGCCAACAGGTCACATCAAGTGACCTCGCCTCAAGTTTCACAATGGTGTTGGGGGCCGGGGGCGTTTCTAGTCTTATAGTCTCCAGTTGCTTTTACGTGTGTAGGTGAAACCGTGGCAAGCATTTGCGTGAAACTTAGTTAAGGCAGTTATGAATTATAGATTCAGTTATAATAAATCAGTTTCGCATCGTGGCTCTGAATTTCGCTCCCAAGTCACCGAGGATCAGGCCATCAGGTCGATTTTGCTAGAACCATGTTTTACCAGTCATTTGCAGAGCAGTGGATCATTTGCAGAGCTTGGGTATTTCCAGTACAGACGAAAGTTTCCTTTTTTCACACAAAAATGTTAAATTTGACCGTTGTGGCCCTCTTGAAGCCAAGCGATTGGTTTTCACTTGCACCTGAAATGTCACTCGCGAGCGAGTCTTAAAATAGCTATCAAATGTTTTGTTTGCAGTGTTCTAGCTCCTCTAGATCACGAGCTATGAGAAAAGTTGTGAAAGCACGCTATGAATGGGAAAATTTGACCTTTAATTTCCTGTTGTGATTTATTTTTGAGCTGGCCTAAAATATGGCGAAATTTCTCTTGTGATGTTAACCCGCGCCCGGCTGGGGGTCCTGGATTTCCACGCCCTGCTGGGGGGGGGGGGGTGTTTGAACACCCCCCCTTTCTAACTCGGCTCCTGGGCCACGTAGCGATACGCGGAAGGCGGTGTTCGAAAGAGCGTAAAAAATAATGACGAAATCACTTTGGTCAATTTTTTGGTCAGGTCAAAGGTGAGGTCACCAGAGGTAATTGAAGGCAAAATTTCGCCGATTTCCAGGTCGAATGTCGACAATTTCCAAGAAGCCAGCGCATAACTCGGGAACCAATAGAGCTACAGCGCCGCGGACAAGTGCATTCGATAGCCCTTTTAACGCCCTTTCTGAGTAATTCTCTCAGATTTGACCTAACGTCCACGGTTTTGCCTGCAGGGGGCAAAAACTGCAAAAATAGCCGATTTTTTTCGGAAACAGTTTTTCTGCAATAACTTTTGATCCAAGCCTTGTACGAGCTTACTTTCACCGGTATCGTGTTCCTCTCGTCAAGACGCATCGAATGAACTATAAGTTGACCTTGAAAGGTCAACATGAAAATTTGACCTCAGGTCAAGGTCATGACCTGACCGGAAAGGGTCATGTTGCATATCAGTCGATCCGTATCGTCGAGCTGAACACATGTAAGGCGTTTTCATCGCTCTAGCATGCCTCTATCAAAAGTTATTTGCGAAAAACTGTTAGATACCATTCGTGACCTAAGATGACCTCAGGGCACAAACAAGGGTCACGGACACCATTTTCATGTTCAGTGTGTCTAAACCACTTGTAATTCGGTGTTTGGGAGTGTTTATAATGTCTTTCGTCCAAAACAGGCGCATTTCAATTTTCTCCCATTGACTTATAATGGGGAGGTCGTAAAATTGACCTGACCTTAGGTCATCGATATCAAAATTCTGAGATAAACATTTTGTACATGCTATTGCTCTTAGCAATCGCTGAAAGTTTCAAAGCGATCGGTCACTCGGTGTAGCTATGACAGACATTGAAACTTTTTATGAGGTGAGGTCACTTCAAGTGACCTGGTGACCTGACCTTGAATGACCTTGGTCTGAAATTTTAACAACATGTGTAGAATTGATGTATGATAAGGTGTACCAAAAACGGCGGCGCTCCGCGCCGCCGTTTTTGAGATATTCGCGAAAAACCACAAGGGGGGGTGTTCAAACACCCCCCCAGCAGGTCGCGGGTTAAGCGTTCTTTCAAACGGCGCTGCCACTCCTCGCCACGCAGCCCAGCAGCCGAATTTGAAAGGGCGTATAACGCCTACTCTACCTCTCGCCTCAACGTTTTCGATAGGGCCACCCACCACCCTGGCGCGGTTCAAGTTGGGGGGCCTTGAGCCCCCGAAGCTCTTCTACTTCTTCAATGCTACCCATTTTGTCTCATTTTTATGACCCTATGGGCCTAGACCTGTTTTCTTGTGTGAGTGTTATTGTAAACGTGATCTTACGATAACGACCCTTGAATATCGTTTTATTTTGCATGTTTGATCAAACTTGTCGGGCTCTGCGATGAAAATATTTGTCAAAAAGTCCCAAAATCAAAATAAATAGATCTGCAAAAAAATTAAAAGAGGTAGATAAGAGTAAAGAGAGACACTTTTGTAGGTAGCACTAAGCTTTTTCTCGTTTGGAGACAGTTTTTAGGAATTACAAGAGTGAAAAGGTTAGGTACCCCGGCCGCGCCGGGGTTGGCTGAAAGTTACCCCGGCCACGACCGGGGTGGCCGGGGTAGGTTCTCCACCCATGTCTGAGATAGAGGGTTAATCAGAAGATACGAATGCTCTAGGCAGGAATAAAAGCAACGCCAGCTGATTCATAGCTAAGTCATTTAAAACACCCAACACAAACATCGAGTACACAGGACGTGTTCTGCAGTTCCGAGGCACGTTCAATGAATATGTTCTGAGCTCCGCTAGTGGGCACGTATAGAATATTCGTCACTCGCCACACCTTTGGCCCGTGCCCAGACACTGGCGGTATTCCGCCTCGGTGTCGGGCTCGGAGACCGCCAGCAGTGGGGCACAGACGGTGAACGACCCCAGTCGGTGACCTGACCTCGCCCGAGGCTGTCCCGGGTCAGTCTGCTGCTGGCGGAGGATCCAGGCGCAAACGGCCGCGAGTGCTGGTTTGTGCCGGGACGGCCGAACGGGATGGGCGTGTGTGCACCTCTGACGTGTGGCATCGGGAGGCTGTGTCACCTCTGGCTTTGTGAGCCCTTTGCGAGAGCTTCGCCGAGTGGGTGAGATGGACAAAGAAGACCTTGCAAAGTGAGTCCGCGCCTAGTAGAGCCGTAAGCTTGCGTGCATTGATAAGGTACGTTGATTCTCACACACGATAGATAAGTGCTAACCGTCTGCGATGTGGCTCCAGATTCGGTGCGGCGCTGTGCATTCCGATTGTAATTTTTTTTTCTTATCGCGTAGCTTTCACAATCTCCTCTTATCGCAACCTGTGCCTCACAGACGCCCATCTCCTTTCATCCGCACTGGAGGACCGTGCAGCTTTATTGCACTGCACTGCATTGCACTGCACTGCTTTCAGCATCACGCATTCCAAGCCAGTAGAAACGAACGATATCGAATCATGCCTCGCCGTCCACGAACTAAACTCCAGTCCCTCGCCTCCCCACCAACTCGACGGCCGTGCCAGTGTCATAACAGGATCATGTCACGCGCTGAGGCCCTCTCGGCTCTCTTCCATCCAACAGCTGACCACCGCTGAAAGTGTCACGTGCCAAAGGCTCACTGGTTATTTCCAGGTCTGTCTGGCTTATCCGTCTACCGAAGTTCGTGTGACATTTCTTGCATCACCACCGTACTACGAACAAGCTACCCATGAGTTGACCCATGTTCGAAGCTATCCGCAGTCCATAAACGAATCGGTTCAGATGCAACGCGACATGTTTCGTCTCGGCGAGCACAAATATCTCCACACTTGGACAATCTTGGGGTATGCGACTGCCTTCGCCGAACCATTACCACGTGGGGCTCGACCGGGGTAGGCGATACCATGTGGGTGAACAGCCAACAGGAACCGCACCAGGGCCCCATCGATCCATATCGACTGACCGAGCAGCCCCGCACACTGCACAGTCGGTGACCGTGCCTATCTCGCCCACTCGCTTTACAGTGGGCGCACGCCCTGCACTGTGCCTCTGCACAATCACGGACCGGTTCTGTCCCGCCCCTCTCATGGGACGGTGAACGCCCCTTACACCCCGCCGCGACGGTGGGACTTCGGCGTTCGATTACGATCCTGCCGTTTCCTGCAACCGACAGTCGTAGCAGCTGCTGTCTCTGCATTTACGTCGTACCGCGGCCTGATGTAAAGATGACGAAAGTCGCAGCAGGAGCTGGCAAGACTCGGCGCCGGCGCAGTGATCACATGACCCCCCACCCCCACCCCCCACCACCCCCGGGCTGCCGTCATTGGTCGATTCCAGTCGGCGGCAGCGGCGCACGTCCAGGGGAACGTCCAAACACGTGGTTGGTCGGGGGCGCGGTCATGATTTGGCTAGGTCAGCATCCTCACGGAGGGGAGGGAGGGTCATCTGGCACAAGCTGGGTGTGACTGTGATGATAGGGTACTGCTATTGGTATTGGCAAGCTACTGAGACGCGAACTAGCTTGAACCTGATCTGACACCGTGCTAAACTAGTATTTCGAAGTGCCGCCGTGGACTCTTTCGTCTACTGCGGGGAGTTCTATTCAAGTAGCCGGCTGCCTATACTCCACTCCACAAAACTTGGGGACGCTGACCCTGAGAAGTGAGAGGGAACTCGGCACGTACCGTTTTTTAGACGGCTGATAGTTGGCCCCATGCTTATGTGAGCGTGTGGGCGTGACTGTTGTCATACACTGACACTGCAAACAGCACCGTCCGAAAGCCCCAGGTGTTCCCGTTGATAACTCCCACCTGCTCATAGTTACCCTCCCCTCTCCACCCTTCGTGCCCATCTGTCTGTCGGCTAGGCCGGCGTGGGCCGTCACAGGCGACAACGGCCGACCGTGTGTGGCCTTTCTGGCTGCCGCCTCTCCCCCTCGCGAGTGACTGCTGCAGTGGATGGGATAGGGTCGATTTAATTACAAATTCACTTATCACATTTCGGCAACAGCCTTACAGGTTATGCTCAAAATTCAATCGATTATTGGCTATATATTTCAAGTAACTTTATCTGTGCGCATCGCGCGAGCGCAATTGCCAATTACCTATTCGTATGTGGACGACAAACCAGACAGTTCCAGTTGTAACCGGTCACGCTCGCCCAAGCACACTTCACCTGATGGTCGGAATGTAACACCGCATTCCGCCCTCCCCTCCCCCTCCCTCCCTCGTCACTACCACTATTATGCATCGGTCAATTCGCATGTTTAGCAGAGCATATCATCCTCGCTCCCTGCTCCATGCCCCTCTGCCCTACTCTCCATATAACTGTCCCTCCCCGACCGGTGACCCAGCCAGTTCTCTCTCCACCAATCACCGTCCCCGCCGGCCGACCGATGACGCTCTGCGCGTATGTCGTCATCCGATGACGTCACCACCCCCTATCGATCCAAGCCGACGAGGGGCACGAGCAGCGTCGGTACCGTCCCAGTCCGCGTCGGGAGTCGCCGAGGGTCGAGCGCGGGGCGCGGGTCCGACGTTAGTTCAGAGCAGAGGCCGGCTGTCGCCTGTGTCGGTGACCGGGTCAGCTGCACCTGTCCCTCCCCCCAAACGGCCGCCAACCATGGCCGAATCCCAGTACGACTCGCTGCCCCTTAGGGAAGGAGGCGGCGCCGCCGACAAGAAGGATGACGACAGCAAAGGCGTCAAGCTGCAGGCCAAGATGAGCCTGCTCAATGGAATCACGGTGAGTTGGATGGGGGCTGATGGGTGGATTGAGCGAGGGACGATGCTTGGAAAAATGAACGGTAGTTTTGCCAGTATTTAGTTTATATTTTGCATAGCAATATAAAGAAATGGAACGTATATTTATTGCACATAATTAAGCGCAAAAATATGTGCGATGCCGAAAGATATCGGACATCGCCACATCGGTGCTGTTGACGTCCATGATTTACCTCACATCTTCCCCGCATCGGGTGTCAATTGTCAGCCGAATGTACCGAAACCCTTTCATCAGGTCAGGATGAGCTTTATTGTACTCACATAGGCATAACTCATTTTTTTCTTTATATATATTCGTTTCGTGCTCGGTTGATGAATTATCTTCAATGAAATGTCGTTATTTTGCTAGCCACGAGTCACTCAAATATTTTTTCGATTATATTTAGCTCAAGTATGACCCCGAAAAGGGCAAAATGCGATGATTTTCTCTTCCAATCTTCTAAAGAGATAATGATATATTCAATCATATGTGAGAAAAAATGAAACCTGCATGCTTATAAATGCACTATGCTATAAAATTGTATATCGGTACACATAAGTATATTTGGAGAGGAAAAAAGTTATCTCTTTGGGATAATTTTGATTACGCAGTTATGTATAAATGTTATGCGCTGATCGGTGTGAAATGGCTGCAATAACGAAAACGACATTGAAGTCACCAAAAGATCTTATATTGAAAACAATGTAATACAGGGTGACACAAAAAAAAACGGTCATCACCAAATTTCAAATAACTTCGGGGAAGTTTTATTCAGATCATCACCAAACTTCGGCCACTTAAGGTCACACCTATGTAGCATACATCCACCAAGTTTCAAGTCTTCACTACGAATACTTTTAGTACAGTGTGTGTTTTACTGACGCTCCACAATGTGCTCCAGGTGAGCGCCACGGCGCTGCAGGGCGTAGGCACACTTGCATCCGGCGGGCAAAGTTGTCGATAACCCGATGGCTGTGCACTTTACAGAGTGCAATGGCCTCTGGAGACAGTGCTCAGGGGGTGTGCTACCCCTGAAACGTTATTCTTATCGGGTTATCGACAACTTTGCCCGCCGGATGCAGGTGTGCCTACGCCCTGCAGCGCCGGGGCGCTCACCTGGAGCACATTGTGGAGCGTCCGTAAAACACACACTGTACTAAAAGTATTCGTAGTGAAGACTTGAAACTTGGTGGATGTCTGCTACATAGGTGTGACCTAAAGTGGCCGAAGTTTGGTGATGATCTGAATAAAACTTCCGAAGTTATTCGAATTTTGGTGATGACCGTTTTTTTGTGTCACCCTGTATTTACTCTTAAGTAGTTGCCTCAGCATATTTTTATTCTAAGAAATATACATTTGCGGTTCAACACCTTGCTGCCATTACGAGCCAAAACATTGCATCCAAATCGTTAAAAATGTTTTATGACCGAAGGTTCTCATAACTTGCTATGAATGTCACGCGCTGCCGTCTGGTGTTATATTCTACTGCCGGCGCTGCATTCTCCGTCATGCTCAGTCGGCCAGACCAGACTTATTTAGACAAATGTCCGTAGTCGACCGACTGGTTTCGGTAGGATGCTAAATCCTTAACTTACTAGGACACAATCTCATAAATTTAAAAACTGTATCACATTTTTGATAACATAGATGTTGTCCCTAACAGTGGTTGCCGGTTATACCAATCATTCCTTTTCTACAGACGCTATTCTAGAAACGGCAAGGATTTTATCTGAGTTTTAGCATTTTCTCTTTAATATCTTGTTTCATGTAATCCGTCATTCGTCAATATTCGTGCATTTCATACAGTAGAATCCGCTTAATAAATCCTCGGATAATAAATCCAGCCGCTTATTGTGGCCACTTCAGCTGTTTACGGATTTTCTCGAAGCAAAACTGACTCCGGTTAATAAAGCCACCGCTTAATAAATCCCAGACGCCGTGTCACCTACGTGGATATATTTAGTGGATTCTACTGTAACCATCTTAAACGGTTACTAGGGAAAACTAAACAGGAAAACATCTTACTGTTTTTTTTTTTCATTTTTATTATTCAGGTGTACTATGTATGTAATGCTTGCCACATTGCACATACATACAGCATCACGGTCATGCAGCGCCAACTTCTCTATGCCAAAACATCGTCAACCATCGTTTTTCACGCCTCCTGTTATAACTCTCCCTCTCTCCTCCCTTCCTCTCTCCTCACAGGTCATCGTGGGCTCCATCATCGGCTCTGGCATCTTCATCTCGCCGACTGGCGTACTGGAGAACACGGGCAGCATCAACCTCTCTCTGGTCGTGTGGGTGGCCTCGGGCGTTTTCTCCATGGTGGGCGCCTACTGCTATGCCGAGCTCGGCTGCATGATCAACAAGTCAGGCGCCGACTACGCCTACATCATGGACACCTTCGGCCCCTTCCTGGCGTTCATGCGACTCTGGGTGGAGTGCATGATCGTCCGACCGTGCTCGCAGACGGTCGTGGCTCTGACGTTCTCCGTCTACGCCCTGAAGCCGTTCTACCCGACCTGCGAGCCGCCGTACACCAGCGCTGCGCTCCTGGCTGCCGTCAGTATCTGTGAGTATCGCCAGCGGGAGGGAATAGGGGTAATGGTAGTGGTATTGGTGTGTGGAGTTGGGAGGGAAAAGATCGCAGAATAAGTGGTTTTCAGCGATGGCACAGTAAATGCTCAGGGGTAGTCAAAGTTGCTCTTCACAGATCACATTTATTGAGAAAAAGCGATACGATCTACCGAGGATGAAAACTGTATAGGAATCCGAATGAAATATAATTTGAAGTACCTACTTAAACAATTCTAAACCATAGGTGAAATGCCCCTTCTGTAACTTCTAAGCAGCTGTCAGAATGTTTCTCCTGCGCGTTTATTTAGTGTTTTACCGCCAGCATTTCGTCATGATCGCGTGAGGATATGCTGGTGACCCGGGGCACATGCATTCCATCATATCCCTGGCCTTGAGCGTGCTAGTGCCACCGGCCGTTGGGTTCGACACCCTTCAGAATTTGGAGACGATTTCTCGATATGGTCGTCTGAACCACACGATCCAGACATGAGACTCTGGTGTGCACCATGCAAGAACAGCATGGCCAATGGTCACAGACACGAGTTTGTAACTTATCGGGAAGGAATGGTTCTGAATAAATGCGGACGTTCAGATTGATGGGCTGCTGACGTAGCGTGGCATAAAAGGCTCGTTGAAAGACAGCCACATGTCCCGTGCAGCCTGCAAAATTGGAAGCATGACTGCTGTAATTCAGTTGCGGTGCTATAGCTGTGATATTTGGGTAGGTATATACATGGTTACGCTGGTGACTGCATGAGTGCCAAAAGAGGATTACTGTCAACCTTGCATGTCGATGAATAAACCCTAAAATGATGAATGAAAACGAAATTAAAATAGTACAACATTGATAACTAGGTATTTATTACAAGGCTGCCTTGTTCAGGAAGTGAAAATTGCACATTTCTGGCTCTACGTTTCTGTATTCAACATCAGATCGATGATAAACATTTAAAGCAATCAACAAGTAGCAACTAGCAACGGGTAAATATCAGTCTGAATTCATGACCTGCACACTATTGACTCCTATATATCTTCAGTTTCTCGTGACAGTTCCGATGACAAAGTCTGTGTGCATCACGCGGCATCGAAAAATTCATAAATGATAACTTGTTTACGATGCTAAACGTAAAGTTGTTTCATTGTTGTTGATGACGTTTGCTCCTAATTCCTTATCAGCATGCATCACCACTCAGCAGTGTACACATAAGCTTTTTATCATTAGGCAGCCTAACGATTTAGAATCATGCCAGCGAGATTTTGCGGGCAGTGCACTGGGGAATTTAGAGAACATACTGCACCAATTACACTAATGGCTAACATTTTTACATCACAGCTAATTTACAAGCAAGGAAAACTGATATACACATTCCTGATGCATTTATCTCCCGCCAGAAACTTATTGCTCCCCAGGCGCAAACAATTTACACACTATGACGGTTTTTATCGTAACGAACCCGTCGGTTATACACTTGTGCAATAATGTCTGACGCCTTGCTTACTGCCAGAGTAAACTACATCACGGCTTACGGAAAATTCGTCATTACAACTTCGTAGTATGTATTTCGACATTTCAACCGTTCTAAAGGATCCCTCGGCCTCGGCATACTTACATTTACTCACTTACACACACTGAGCCTTCGTGGATAAAATGCCGCCTCAGAAGCTTCCGCGTGGTTGTAATGAAATAGCCAGGCTAAAGTTAAGATCGCCTTCCCAGCACCGACTACCGGACTGGGTTTGCCGAGTCATGCTGGGGTAAAAATAGCCGACTGGTGCACTGTTGGAGCAGCCAATCCTGTTCGGTGAAGGAATCAACATCCATGGCTGGCTGGCAACGGGAGGGTTGATAGTGTAGGGTTGATAGTTTCGAATGGAGTGCAGAACGAAAGGAAATGCCACTATTAAAGATAATTTATAGCCTATGAAGACTAGCTTGATGAGAAAAGACCGATGAATGAAATTTGAGAGAGACTGATATTGAAGTGGGATAGATCTGAGTCGGTGATGTGACCTAGCCAGACTTCTTACTCATCGTCTTCTTTTAAATACCGCCTGACGCATTCGAAATAGACAGTTCCAAATTCAGACATCAGGTGCTCGGTGACGAAGGCCGGAGAGGCCGTCTGAGACCCGAGATGTGGTCGCAGAGGCCGACTGAGACCCGAGATTTCGCCGGGTCTCGACGAGACGAGCCGAAGATGATACCCGGAACGGGCGCTGCCACGTCACCTCCGGTATCATATGCCAAGACGGCTGCTGGGGGCCTCGCGCAGTTGGCCGAACTGTCACAGTGAATCGTGCCGTTGTGTGACCTCTCCAGCCGGGGGCGGCACAGACGAATGACCTCGGGTCGACGCTTCACAGCCCTCCGTAGCTGTCCGGAATGCGAGCGTCGTGTACCGCGAAGGAGGCTGGGAACAAACACTCTCTCGAGCTGATCGCTTCCCGGCTGCCAGAGATAAATTTACATGACACATGAGGCCGGTGCCCGGTCCGATAAATTTACACGGCACGTGACGCCCTCGCGCCCGAGGGACCGGTCCCGTGCTTCCCACTAAGACGGCTGAAGACCGAGAGGGCTGGTCTCGTGTTCATCAGGACGGGTAACGCTGAAGAAGCTGTACTGCCCGCAGCAAGACTGCTGGAAGTGGGACACTGTCCATCGTTCATCGATTTGAGGATCTGACAGCTGACTTCCGCCATATCCCAGGCGCCACCTTATTGAGGCAAGGTGCTCCGACACGCCTATCTTCACCTCGGTGTACTGTCTGGGCGACAACTCGCGGCTATATCTGGCCCATCAGTTTCTCCCGTTATCTGGGACACCGGGCGAGAGCGTATCCACCCACAGCCTCCCCATTACGCGGGTGTCTGTCTACTGCAGAGCTGCCGACGCGGCCGGCCGTCCCGCCCCGACATCCGGCTGACTTACATCTCGTCGGATAAAAATACACCCCTGTGACTCGGCCGTTTTTGTGGGTGGAGGCGGCTGTCACGGTTTTTAGCAGTGGGCAGAGGAGTCGGAGCGTCGGTTGTTGACCGGTCGGCTGTTTGGCTCGCCACGGGGTGCAAATAGCTCTCTCAGGCAGGGTTGTATACCAATCAAGTCGATTGAATTGATTGATTTGATTCAACGCGTATTTTGAGTTGATTGGATTGAGTCGATTGACTTTTCGAGATGACTGGTTGACTGACTCGTTTGACTTTAGCGACTGGTTGACTGATTTGATTCCTGAAAATTAGAGTGACTCGTATGATTGAGTCGATTGAATGGAAAATTCAAATAAGTTTTAGTTGACGAAAAATAATGACACCAATTGATGACAGCAAAGATCACAAAACTACACTGAAAACTGCTTGTCATCACAACTGCAATATGGGGTAGATGGCCAAATAAAGAACAGGCCTAAACAAAGTAAACATGAACAGCCAACTTTGACTTTCAACTGCAATAACTGCTCAATCCTGTGATAGAACCTGGCGATGCACCTACCTACCTTTCTGCACTCAGCAGGATTTTTTTTTTTTAATCCAGATGATAAAGTGCAAGGACCTATATACTAATAAAGTGTGATTAATTAATAATTCACATCTCCACATCTCCTCAGAAACAACCCCTATAAATATCTGAAACCCCTACAAAAATAACTGAAACAAAAGCGCCGTTTTCGTCTCGCTAATTACGTTTACGTAAATTAATAGCTAATTTGCTGCATTGTTTAATTTGCAGCAGAACGTTTGTTGATCCTTTTCTCCTGAGAGCCTAAGCATAACATACTTAATATATTTCATTTTCCTTAAAATATTTTACCGAATATTATTAAGTGGTTTTATTTCAAATGAAATAATAATTAAAACGAAATTGGTGCTGTACAACCGATTTATTTTATGATGATCTACCATACTACTTGATAATCAATGACGTCATCTTCCCAAAAAATCAAAAGACGTAGAATAAGGATTTATAAAAGCTTAGCATACTTATCGGCAAAACGTTTTCTTTGTTTGTTTTTTTCGCAGTCGCACCGTGCCGTTTTCGCTTTTTAATTTTCCTTTTCCTACTTCCTTTGTCCTTAACTTATCCTGTGGTTCCAGAGTCCCTGTCCTTTCCATTTCCCTTTAAATATATTTTTAATGCTAATCCCTATTGCTATCCCCCAGTCCTAACAGTTTCAAATTGTAATGCAATAAAATGTTTTGAATTCTTCACATATAACCTATCTACCTTCGTTGGTACTGTTGGTAGCCAGTGACACATCTAGGCAGGTAAGTAGGTACCTACCTGCTTTCCTGCTGTCTTCATAAAGCATACCTAATGAAGTTGTCAAATTTGTAGCACATTTTCAACACTTTCATATGGTGTCAGTGTGGCATGAAACCTAGCTAGGTTCATTATGTTCAGGGTTCAATTCAGAAGAGCTCCGCATACCTCAAATAAGAGACAGACGGGGGCTTTACATGGGGTAGATGGCCTGATAACTTAGCTGGAATATGGCCAAAATTAAATTGACAACTTTTAGGTGAAAGGTGGTGATTTGGGTTAAGGGGCGTTTGTTGAAGTCAACTACTGGGTTATTTTGCACCCATTAAATGAAACTTCTGCTTCAATTCTACCCATTGAACCTCAATATCATGATCCACCTGTCCATCACTAGGTATCCTTCCTTATTACATAGAAACTTTGAATGGCATGGCAATTTATAATTTTAAATGACAATATTTTTATGTTTCTTCTGTAGGTAGGTAGGTAGGTAGGTACACCAGACTGCTATGGACACTTTTCCAAGTTGGTGGGGCAAAAAACCTAATGTATATCTTGGTTTGAGTCGTTTGATTGAGTTGATTGATTCCTTTCATTGTCGCGTTTGAGTCGATTGAATCAATTCCCGAAAACTGCTCTGACTTGATTGATTTGATTGGTTTCCCAAATTTGTCGTGATTGAATTGATTGCTATTGATTGAGTCGTATACAACCCTGCTCTCAGGTGAAATCGA